GTTTTGCGAGGGAACGCAAAGTTTCTCGAGGGAACGCAAAAGTTTTGCAAGAGAACGCAAAAAATCTGACAAATATTTTTTTATTAATTTTTTCATTCAATCTGATTTTTTTCCACCACCATGTCCCTTTAGCGGCTCCGTATGAAAAGAAAATTGTGCAGCTCAGCAAAATAAAACCCACCACTTCTGAAGAAATCCACAGTTGATATGGCTGATCTGAGGATTTATTTTTTTATTTTTTATAATGCAGCTGTGGAGTGACAAACTTCATATTGTCACTGACACAATACAAAGATTAATGTAGAAGTGAAACTGTGCAGCTCAAAACAGAGCCGTCTGAGAGACATCATTATTCTTGGATTGATTATTTACAAGGACGTGCAACAGAAAGAAAAAGAAACCACCCACAAGGTATCCACTCACAGAGGTGTTGCGTTCTAGGAAATGCAGAGAACGCTAACACCCTGTCGACACCCTAAATCTCTCCCATTATAATCAATGCAGCACTGACGCATACACTGGAAGCATATGTTGTGTCGCACTGAGATGGTCTATTTTTGAGATGCTGCATAGCTACTCCTACCACTTAATTACCCATGTCTGTATGAAAAAAAATTTATGCACTTTTTCCCCCCTTTTTCTATGAATTTTATTTTTAATGTATTCAAGCCAATGCCTTTGCTTTATTAATTAAGGCTGTTCAAATAAGTATTTTATACACACCAATGCTGCAGCAAAAAATACATTTAAACAATAACATTGTGAAATACTATTACATTTTAAAAGATATTTTATCTCTCTGATGACAAAGATGAATTGTTCAGCAGTTATTACTGCAGTCTTCAGTGTCACATGATTCTTTAGAAAATCATTCTAATATGCTGATTTGCTGCTTAAGAAATATTTATTTTTATCATCAATGCTGAACACAGTTGTGCTGCTTAATATTTTTTGTGTAAACTGTGATCTTTTTTTCCAGGATTCGTTCATGAATAGAAAGTTCATAAGAACCACATTTATTTGTGTACATTTTTGTGTAACTGTAAAAGTTTTGTCAATGTAATGCATGCATGCATGCTGAATAATGATTAAATAATTATAAATATATAAAATGCTGAAGTCATCAGCCTCACAGCTAATTACTGGTCACCCCAAATACTGGGCATCAGAAATATCAAAAACTCTACTGTGTGCTCTAGCTTTTTTTTTTTACCTTTAGGATTGAAATTTGTAGATGTGGCCGATCATGTTAGAAGAAGCTCTGACTTACAATGTGGAGCATGAGGTAGTCTCCCAGGCCGGGGGCGCTGTCGATGCGGATCAGGATGCCATCCTTGAGTGAGGTGCTAAAGCCCACTGTCAGCCTGTCCGTACGGGTGCTCGGGCGCTCGTTGGCTGGCCAGTTAAAGGTTATGAGGCCTCCTCCTTTCCCAAAGATATATGTTGTTCCAGCTGGAAAAGACAACACGAGAATGCAAAGATTAGCCTGCATTACTGAGGGCTTGACTCTAAACGCATTTCAACTGCAATACACAAATAATTTTATGAAACTGTGTGCAGAAGAACCTTTTAATTTGTTAAATCAAAAAAGAAAGAAAGTTTGAGCCTAATATCTAAAGACACATTTTGCTACCATGAACTTTCAGCCAAAGTGAAATATAAATCGAAGAGGCCCATACATATACACCCACATGTATATACATACATTTAAAAATTTTGATTTCCCCCAACTTTATTCATTCTATTTCTAAACTAAAACATGTAGACATTTCACTCAGAAATTACTAGTAAATTGCACTCATAATTACAAAGAATGGCAAATATACATCGAATTTAGCATGAAAGTAGAAAGACTGAAATATATTTTTATACACAACTTCAAAAAAATCATTTTAACAGTGTGCTTAGTGACATGAAATCCAATTAAATGTCATTCCAAATGCAGCAGAGAAAAAACAGCAGGATGAAAACCAGAATAACCCCACACATTGTCACATCCACAAACGCTGATAGTACAAGAACCAATGACGTGCCACTAAAATGTCCTCTTCAAGTTTCCCCAACTAGGCCAAAGACTTTGAGAAAAGTCCTGACATTTTTAAGTTGTCAGCGGCAGCTCTTACCCGCGTTCTGGTAGCACTAGCGATCGGATCTTAAGCATGAATAATGCCCACACCTGGGTCAGAAAAGTCATAATTCTTCAGGCTCATATTCTCAGCAGAGCCTGCTGGAAAATGCTGTGACCTATCCAAGTTAAATATAACTCTTTCCAGGGAATAACAGCAGGAGCCTTTGATGAATGAATTCTGTTATTATCATGCATTATACGAGGGAAAAGGTAAACGCAAAAGGCTTCACCTGGAATAGAGGTAGGGCAATAATTCTTTCCGATTTGGCCAGCCGCATACTGAAACTTGGGGAATGGTGTTGCAGTAAACAAAAGCATTATTGGGTAAACTGCAATTTCATGGGACTATTTGTTCTGGAC